TATACACGGTAAATTTAAATGACACAAAGGGTTTTGAAGATTGAAGAGTTTTCAGTGTGGAGAAGTTGGAACTGCATTATGGTCAACATGTAAGTTTATATAATTATAAAATGTGAAAAATATGGTTGACTACGATCCTGGTTATAATTGTTAGTTGGAAAAAATCTAAATTCCTTCTACAGTTTCCTCATATGTATTCATACCAATATTTAAAGTATATTTATTACTGCTGTTATTGCATTGAACAGCTTGGAGGTGCACTATAATAAGTTAATCAGGTTGATGCGTTTTTACTGGTGGGTCGTTCTGTCAAGTATAACAAAATGGAAAATGATAAGCGGGTTAGGTCAGTAAGTTCAAAGATCAAAGATATTTTTGACAAACCAACAACAAAAAAAAAAAGTTAAATCCTTTGCTTATTGTCATATTTTTAACATTTCAAATAAATGAAATTTGCTTTTTAACACTCAGAACATCAGGAAACTCTGTTACACACTGTCAGGTGGTCGGTTAACACCATACTGCTGCAGTGGCACCTGAAGACCACTGAGGCTTCATCAGGCTGCACTAATTATAATCAATTTATTGGGAACACTATACTGAGGCTGAGTAGTTCCTCCCTTTGCTCTCAAACAGCTTCAGTTCTTTGTGCCATGGATTCCAAAACATATTGGAAACATTCCTTTGGGATTCTGTGACATGATAACATCGCATCTTTTCTGCAGATTTTTTAGCTGCACATTCATGCTGGGGGATCTACTGTTCGACCACATATCTAAGGTGTTTGACTGGATTCAGATCTGGTGACAGGGGGAGGCCACTGAAGCAGAACGGACTCATTGTCATGTTTATGAAACCAGTTTGAAACGACTTTAGCTTTGTGACATGGAGCATTATCCTGCTGGAGGTAGCCATTAGAAGATGATGAACTGTGACCATAAAGGGATGCACGTGGTCACCAGTAACACACAGATGGACTGTGGCATTCAAACCGTGATTGATTGATATTAAGGGACCCAACATGTCTACACCACCCAAAGATACACCACCACCACCGGCCTGAACTGTTGGCACAAGGCAGGTTGGTCAATGGATTCATGATCACACAAATAATTCCAATATTTGTAGTTGTAAATCAAACTTTGTAAACCTGAAAAATAAATCTGCATGGGAAATTCAAGTTTGTGCATGTGAAAACAAATTGCGCTTGTGGCAAAGAGATTTGTGTTTGTTGAGACAGTGTGAATCAAAACTGAACAAATGATCAGTGGTGAGGTTCAACAAAGACACAGGGAAAGAAGAAATGCTTTAGTGGACGTCTGTGTACAGAGATAAAAAGCAGAAAACTGTGAAACTCAGTGTGCAACATTCCCAGTGTGTGACACACTGTGGGAACTTTTGACCAGAGTTTTAGTTTTCTTCTCTGTATCATGACACAGAAGTTGACAAATCCATTTCCTCTTTTACAGTGTCTTTGTTCAACCTCAACTCATTTGTGGAGTTTTGATTCAGAATTTCAATTTCAATTTCAATTCTCTTTGACACAAGTGCAATTGTTTCACATACACAAACTTGAATTTTTCATGCAGATTTATCTTACAGGTTTACAAAGGTTGATTTACAACTACAAACATTGGAATTATTTGTGAACATCACTTTACAAGCTCAAAATCATTTTGACCCTAATTTGAGCCCAGGTACACGTATAGTTACAGTCACAACACTTTTGTTTTTAAAAACATCTGCTAACTAATACACATCTCTCAGCATGAAGCAGGCTATGTTACACATTACATTTACATGGTTGTGGTTTAACTGGTAGTTTACTATTTGTAGAGCTTTGGAAGTGTTAAACAGTTGTTACTCAGTAGCTCCTCATTACTCCATCACTATATCACAATAAGTTCCTTAACAACAAATCAGACACAGCAAGTTTCCAAACAAGTATTTTAATTGTAATATTCAAGCCAAATATTAATAATCACATCCAAGTTGTTTTCTGATGCATTTGATATGACGCTCAAGATGTGCAAAAGGTTCTGATTAGGGGATGTGCAAAAGATCACAGTATAGACAATATCTGTCATGTGCAGGGATAATACCTCAAGATGTTGATGTAATGTGGTTGATGACTGATGAGGCCAGATGCAGAAGAAAGGCAGGTGCTGGTCCTTCATTGGTGGAGATTAGACTGGACTTCTGATCCTGATACAGACAAACATGTGATAGGACAATTAGTTTTGATCATACAAATTCTTTATATTCAAACATCTGTTGTGTGTGTGTGTATATATATAATAAATTATGAGGATAGATATGAATATTATGAAATAAATGCAAGAAAAAGAAGGGTAAACAACTAGAGGTGTGATAAGAAATCAATGTACACACACTATATAACCAACAAATTCAGTAGTACAAATATGGATATACTGTAAAATACATATCAAATATAGGCAGTGGTATATTCATTATTAAGAATCAGCAGTATGACTGGCTCAGGTCCTGATAAAGACAAAGAGATGCTGAAATCTCCTGAGAAATGTAAAGACTTAGTTCACTTTCAATCATGGCTGATCTCCTAACAGTAATGTGAAGTGGTTACAACATGGTGAACCTATTGACGTGTATTCACTCGGTCTACTGGCTCCATACAATCTCAATTTACAGTCATCAGTTACAAAATGAGCCTAAAGTTACTGACGTCACTAGCTGTACAACAGCCGAGAGCAACAGACACAATCCTAGTAAACCGCTAAAACGTCTGTCGACAACCTCAATATCACCACCTGAAACGTTTGTCAGTCGTTGCACTGATTATACTTTTAGCTAAAGAGCTAACATTGATGCTACTCACCGGGCTAACAGGAAAGTTGCAAGCTCGGCATCAAACCGCATCTTTTTACTCTCAGGAGCCGTCTCCAGCGGCATCGAGAGTTACTCGTGTTGTTTCTTTTCTTTGCCGTTGAACGTGGTTTCTTGTCGGGAGCGGTCCTTCAGGATGCTGATAAATATCGCCTTTTAGGAGGTTCAGCCATTCCTGTGTTTCTGTGACGCTAAATTCAAGCTCTGCCGAAAGTTGTTCTTCTTCGTGGGACTGAGGGCAGACTTGACGCGCCACTGACTCACACAGCGTCTAGCGTCACAAAGTGGTATCACAACACAGGACAGGTCGGTGCTGGCCGCGTGCGGCATGGCGATTTTCTAGTAGATAGCTCTGAAATACAACAGATGGAAATCTTGACATCATCACTGTGGCCGCTTCACACACTTGATCGTGTTAATTCATTATTTGAACATTTTATTTTAAATAAAGTTCTGGCCACATCTTATATTGCACCATAACAGCACAACCACCAAAGCTGACATTTAAAAAGTAAAGCTACATGTTCTTTGCCCACATTGCAAACTAACTTACAGTTTTGACACTTACTTATAACAAAGACATTGAGCTTAACTTGACTGATATTGACACATTTGATGCATAAAAAACATTTTTATTTGCTTTTACAGTATATAAATCTATGCTTGGAATATAAAATACAATCATGCTTTCCCTTATACTTACATTCAATTTGTGACGTTTTTACTTGCATTCAGGCCAGTAGATGTTGCACTGATCACATGAAGCATCAAGATATAAACCCTTTGTGAAACCACTTTGCTGAGTAAATAAAACCTCCGACGCTGTGAGACTCACATCCAGTACCAGGCAGATGATTTCTGCAAGCAAAGAAGATACAACAGCCCGGGAAATTTTACTCACCGAGTATTTCACTTACTGACAGAGGCAGGTTTCAGTTTACTACTGCCATGTTGGTTTCTTGGTTCTTGGGTATGGCAGTCATGGAGCTGTCTCCCCAGTCACCGTATGTTGGCAGTCTTTGTTCTGACCCAGCTAGGGGAAAAGGGAAGCAACATAAAACCAGGTGTTACTGGTGAATCAAATTTACTGATTTAATTTATTGCGTAACCAGGAGGGTAAATAAGTAAACAAAAATACAAACTAGGCAATAGGATAACTGAAGTAGGGGTACAGGAGCCAACAAAGAGCCTAACTATGCGATTCTAACCAACCCAAAAACACTAGAATCAGCGCCCCTGTTCCTAATGTGTCCAATAGTCTTTTTCTAAGGGTGTGATGCGCAATCAGAATTTCAAACCTAGCCCAGTCCCCAACAATCAACACCAGCATCTCAAACCAAATCACAAATTACACACAAATGTTCACAAAGGCGGTACAGAGGCGAGCTGCCTATCATGTCAGCCGCCACTAATGATGTGCGGGCCGGGCTCTTAAACTCTCTCTGTGCTTCAGGTTTTAACATTACTTTACATACTTAAAGATTCAATGTTAACACAAACACTGTAAGTTGAAGTTGATTTAAGTTGATTTTTTAAGATGATTTAATATTTTATACATATTTTTTACTCTCTCTTCCAAAACAAAAGGTTTACTTTACAATATTAAGCATGTGTTAATATTTCATTGATTGACACTTAATTCTATTATTAGGGAAAAGTTTCTCTGCAGAAACTTTAGTGGAGTCACTTTATTAAAGGTGTTTGATCATAATAAATTAGGAAAAATCTGTAAAATAACAGTTTTTCTCTGTAGAAATATTAATGAAACTTTATATAAATTTATTGTTTTTACACTTTATTTGGCTGCTGCCAGTCATTTTTTTACGATTTGTTTTTTTTTACAGTGTTGAGAATCCAATGATTCAACGATTCAACGATAAAAGCGCGTTTTCCCACTGTTTCTATGCTTATCTACCTGTTTGGTCCATGTTCATGTGGCCGACGCACACCGATAGAAAAAAAAAAAAAAGTTCGCAGACCCGGGGGCAATCTCAACCCAGCGGTGCACAACAAGAACCAGATGCGCGGTTGTGAATCAGTTTCACAACGAGCATCCCGTGACAGACCGGTGCAGGGGGGGTGGTGGTGTCACGTGGCTCCACGTTAAACCGGAGAGGTTTTTATAGACAGGAGCTGCTCCCAGAAACTTCACCACAGCTCACAGCTCAGCATCAGCGCACACAGGTTGTTTACCTGAAGAGCGAGAAGATGGAAGCTGCGTACAAGAGAGTCAATGGAAACTACGGCCCCGAGGCAGAGACAGACGACCAAGCCACCCGGGTAAATCTGATTTCTCACTCTGCACATCTTATTATATCTGCTTCATTCATTTATAACTGTCTTTGCATTTGCTTCTTTTTTTTTTTCCTCCAACACTTTTCTTGTTTTGTTTTCGAGAGCAAATCCATCAACTGATTTGTGTTCTTTAGTCATGACATGACGACTGTGAGCAGAAAAAGCCAATAACTGCATGTAATCTTTCATGTACTGATTCACATCAGTGCAGCAACAGTAACAAAGAAAAGTCATAGCTGGAATTTTCCAGGTACAACAGGAGACAAAGCAGGGAACCGCAAAGGTGCCTCAGTGAATAGAAGGCAGAAAAAAACAAACAGCTGATGTCAATGACCAAATGGACAATATGTGCAGTCATAGGTATGACTACTACACAGGTGTTTGGACAGACGGATATAAATTTAAAATGTTTATATAAGCTAGATTAAATAATTAGCTGATTTGATCATTTGTGTCGTTTTTCATGCAGAAAAGCCAAATATTACCGAGTTCCAGCTTCTTAAATACGAGGATTTCTTGCCTTTGTTTGACTAAAATGCTCATTAATTAAATTAATTTGGGGTTTGGGGAAATTGTGTTGTGCAGTTTTCATTATTTTCTGATATTTTGCACAGAAAAACCCCCAAAAAACGGTTATTCAGTTAATCAATACTGAAATTAATCATTAGCCGGAGCCCTAATAAAAGCCCTCTGGTTTTAAAGATGAAGAAATTCCTTCACCGTACTCGAGCAGTCAAGACAAACAAAGCATTTCAGGTTTTTCGTCAGTGGATTTGTTTCAAGAAAAATCGTTAAATTGAATAAATGACCGTCCGGGCTGTGCAGGAATTTCTGCATCTGTAAGATATTCTGCTCCTCAGTGACGCACCTGCAGAAAAAAAAAGAAAAAAGTCTGCATGTGTTAATGTTCATTCTCTCATTTGTTGAAAATCCTCTGGTGTGTGTCACGCCAGCATTACGACCGCTGCCGGGGTCCGCGTCTAAAGGTTAAAGGTGTGAGGGGCTTCAAGCTTTATGATCAGACACCTCGAACGCAGAGTGTCGTGGCTTTCAAATGGATTTCATGCTCTCTCTCTTACATATGGCTGCGCTTAAACACACACACACACACACACACACACACACACACACACAAGGAGAGCCAAGGCCAAATCAAACAGCAATATAGTGATAAGAAAATCTGAGATTTACGGATCCTCTTGATTACGAAAGTGCAGATGTGAGGTGTTGAAAGCGCAGCGTGGGTTTGTTAGCGTTAAGTATGTGACGATGACGCCAGAGTTAGAGTTAAAAACATCTAAAAATCCATAAACTTGAGCGTAAAACTCTGTCTCTCTCCACAGAAGAGAAGGGGCTCCATGTACCTGGAGGAGGAGACCAACAAGAAGTCAGAGGTGATCTCCTGCATCTTCTCCCTGAAAGAGGAGGTCGGAGCTTTAGCCAAGGCCCTGCGGCTCTTTGAGGTAAACCCCATTTCTCCAGTGACAGCGCACGAACATGCAGTCGCTCCTTCAGCCTTGACGCTTCTCCCGATCTTCAAGCGATCAGCAGCAAAATTTCTCATGACTGTCATGAGCGCACAGCACGAGACTGTTTTTTTATCGGCCATTACTCTTCGTCTGGGCCCACACATAGTTAAAATGACACTTTAATGTCCTCACGCATCATCATTAGATCTATTCTTCCTCTCCAGGCTATGAAATAAGTTGCAGTCGGCCCCAGGTGATGCGGCGCAAACTGCATTTCTTCAGGAAGTTGAGAGCAGAAATTCAAGCAGTTCCTCCTGCACTTAACAACCAGAGAATGTAGGAATGTTAATTTAGTGCTGGGGCGGTTTTAGTCTTCACGTGGTAAAACGAACTACTCCAGACTGTGGTCAGAAACACATCTTCAAATGACTAAAACTGACTTGTTTATGTAACCAACAGCCAGCAGCCAGTTAGCTTAGCTTAGCATAAAGACTGTAAATGGCTGGTGTGGCTCAGTCAAAAGCAAATAAAAAATCCATGTAGCAGAACCTCTAACTTCTGTTTAATCCTCAGGAAAAAAAAGAAAATTATTATATAAAATGTTGAGCAATATTTTTTCATAACATGATGAGGGGCTCAAGCTTCCTCGGGTCATTTCGGGTTCAAAAAGTTATTGATTAACATTAAACAAGCTCCACGTACAGAAATATTTTAAAGCATTTTTATATTAATATATTACAGCATCACAAGATCTAGTTTATAATTCTAATAGTTTCTACATTTAGTCGTAGCTGTGTTCGGGCAGAAGGGAAGTAGGTTTTATACGTGATTTATCTGTAGTTGTTTTTGTGTAATTTACACGACTTTTTTGACCCTTTTGAAGAAGGGAACTAAACAAACTGAGCTTATCTCGGCTGTTTGTGTATCAGTCGTGTGCAAACATGACAGGTGGCTCTTTGATCCACTAACCCACCTCCTCCAGGTGTCCCGCAGCAATGAAACAGCCGAACTGATTGAACTAAGTATAGAGCTGCAACGATTAGTCGATCAATCAGTTGGTCGAGGAACAGGAAATGAATAAGCAACTATTTGGATGATCAATTAATCATCATTTTTCCAACAAAAAAATTTCATAGATTAATCGATGTATCGAGAAATAATGTTAAAACAATATTGATTTTACTAAAGATTAAACAACTCAAGAGGATATAAAGTAGTAACATATTCCCACCATAACCCTCTATAATATTAAAGGGCCACTCCAGCTATTTAGTAATGCACTTTTATAAAGTTGGGGGACTCATAATAAACAGATTAAAAGATGAACAATAAAGATTGAAGCAACAGAGCTGTTCAGTGATATTCTGGCTTTTAGTCGCTAGTATGTGTGTCCTACGTTTCCCATAATGCAACTCAGTAATGTCTTTCATTAGAACCCCCCCCCCGCCTCCTAAATGCCCACATCTTCTAAATGTTACACCTCGACTTTGTAACACAGGCTTTTGATTTGTAAAGTTTTCAACTTAAGACTCAAGTCCGAGTCGAGCGAACCCCGATGACATCACTATGACATCGTTAGGGTTATGTTATGAAACTTTGGAAAGTGCCCTTTAAAATGCTGCTTACATGGTAAAACTTGAGTGATAATAATCCGATATGATAAAACGTGAAGTACCTGCTGCACGTCTCTGGAATCTGAATGTTTGCAACCACAAGAGGGTCAACGTATCAGTGTGCGTCATGTGTTTTATTCTGTGTCATCGATCTAAACCACCTGTGTGTACGTGACTGCCTCGAAGTAACCACCAACTGTTTAATCTTCAACATCACCGCCCTATCAAGATTTGCGTTTGCGCTTCCTCCTGCAGGTGAAGCGCAAAGTATGACTCCCGAACATTTTTCAAGAACACAGCCAAAAATAAAACCCCCCAAAAAAACATGCAACACAACAACAAAACAAAATGTTTTAGATTAAAGAGAAAAAGTCTTTTCCTCAGTCATGTGGGTTTCTTGGGGGGAGGAGGAGATTGTGAGTGGGTTGACTGTGATCAATACCAAATATGTGCCAAATGCTGTTCGCCAAATGCAGCAGCAAACATCAGGATCATTTTTGACGCTATTGAGCCTCCCACGTGTCCGATCCTCCTCAGCTCTGCTCCAACCCCCTCCGTCCCAATCAGACCACTGCTGCAGAGAGTCTCGCTTTACGCCGCTCGAGAGAGAGAGTGGTATTGTGACACGTTTGGCGAGTTGGTTTTGACGGGGAGAAGATGGTGAGGGGGGGAAGGGTTTGTCTCACGCTTCCAGCGGTTGGTGAATGCGCGGGTGCGCGTGCTCTTTCAAGTGGTTTCGCTAGGACTATGGTCGGTGGGTCGAGATAATGGCATCCCAAACGATCAGACAGCGTGGTGGGCTAAGACTTCATAGGAACGGTTCATGACGTTAGCATAAACGTGGAGTTAGCAGGGATGAGTGGGGCCATAGTGCGGGTTGAGGCGGAGGTATAGGAGAGATGAGCAGGTGGACCCCCTGAATGCTTGTCCCGTGAGTGACAGAGGGTCGTAGTTTTGTGACTGGTGGTGAGGAGCTATGGTAAGGTTCTGAGAGGACGGGATGGAGTGCAGGGTGTAGCAGGCATGGGGTAATGGGCTTCGACTGCTGTAGAGGTGAGTCAATACAGCTCTGAAGTGGAAACACGGGAAGGTGAACTCAGGGTTCTGGGGAGGTGGGCGGAGAATTGGCTGGAGCACGTTCTCCCTGTTGCTCTCCGACCGGGTGCTAAAGTTTAGCCTAGCAGCCGTGGCACCTATCATGTGCTTGTCGTCAAATCTTGTGAATGTCAAATCTCTGTATTTCATCCAGAAAGCCACAAACCAAAAGCCCACCACGTTGTTTATCCGCCTGAGACTCAAAGCACGCATGTGACACGGCAGCGTGGTTATCATGTGACGAGTCAGAGCCACGGGCCGACCTTGACCTCGCATCTCAGCCGGGGCGACGGAAAGGGTTTAATGTCACCTGCATTACAGTGGAGGGACGGCTCAGACGGGTACTGAAACCTGACCAAACGGCCCCTACATGTTACTGGGTTTAAGATTTATGGCTGACTATGTTAAGCTACGTCGAAATATTTCTCTGTGTGCAGAAAAAAGCACATTTTGGTTCCAAAACTGGTCAAAAATAAATAAAAATCACCTGACACTGAACAAACTTGACTGTACAAACATATTAGAATTTAAATGTTAATGCAAAGAATGCACAAAATATTAGGGGGCATCTTTTGCATATTCAGTCGCAGCCCCTTTTGCACCATGTGTGTCGTAATTCTCTCAAAGTTTACTCTAATTATTTGTATCTAGACTAAATCTCCTCTTTTGAAACTTAAAACTTAAAAGGGAAATCATTAATGGATAATGGGTTTTACTTGAACTCACCTCATTAGTTTTTAAAGACCTGTTTTCATAATATATTAAGTGTAGGTCTTAAAAACGGTTTTATGTATCATATTGAATTTATAGGGAATAGCTACAGGAATGAAGGTAAACAACTGAAATTTTCAACTGGAAAACACTGTTGTTTCTCCTTTAATATGTTCAGAAAGCAACAGTAAATCCGCTGACTGTGAAAAGATGATATTACATCACAAAGAGCGACTCATCTTCTCTTTCAAATGCCAACCTGGACACTGTCTTTGGTCGTGTGTGGATCACCCCCAGGGGGAAGCGCTGGACCACATGGGCCTTAAAAAAATCTGTTATATATCGAATGGGATCCAGATGGGAGAAAACGGGGGTGGGGGCTGCTCACGCCCTCCTCTTTACTTAGCCTATGGTAGACAGAGAACAACACACTCCCTCTCCCTCCCCAAAAGTTACATAAACAAAAACACATTTTTGATGGTAATTACGACTTAACGATCACGTTGGACGTCGGAATCACGTCCAAAACAAAAAAAAAAAAATCTGGAAACTTCCCAAAAGTCTTGTGTTCGTGCTGCAGAGTGAGAAATGAGCTAAACACCGGCAGGGCAGGGGGATTTATCTGAACCAGTACAATATGTCCTGAATACCTTTACTATGCAAGTCCTGTCCGTGCAGTTCAGTGTCAGTTTGCAGAGAGAGAGTTCAAGGCAGCTCTTACCCAAGGTCAGAGTGGACTGCACCAAGTCTGATAAATAATAGCCATCAATTTAACAACCTCACACCGCCCTCTAGTGGTGGAACAAAGGTATTGCTGCAGCAAAAAATATTTGCACTTGCACTATCTTTGTTTACTTTGAACCTTCTGCCTTCGACAGACGGGAAAATTACCTGAAATATACACAGAGAAGAGAAAATAAGTTCTGCAAAAACCAAACAACAAACATCAGCTCGGCTCTCACCACAGTCTCCTCTGTGCCTCTGTTCCCTGCAGGACAAGGGCATCAACCTGATGCACATCGAGTCCCGTCCGTCGCGGATGAACAAAGACCAGTACGAGTTCTTCATCAGCGTGGACTCCACCTGCTCCCAGGCCTTGGATGAGGTCATTGACGGCCTGCGCACACAAATCAGCGGCCACGTGCACGAGCTGTCACGCAACAAAGAGAAGGATACAGGTCAGACATTGTGTGTGTAGCTGCAGTGAGGACAAGATAAGCATGAAACCTCAAAATAATACAAACACCAGATGTGTAGAAATGGCAGCTGCACATGCGGTGAGGGGAGAGTTGGTAACGATTTACTGTGGTTTCAAACACAGGAGGATAATTGTGACATGTCACTCACGTTGCTCATTTCTTACCTCTTTGTGATAATGCTTAGAATAAACTAATGCTGATCGTACACTTTGCATCACTGCTCATGGGGCGCAAAGATCAAGCAAAACTGTCCTAACATCTCAAATTAAACATTTAAAAATAAAAAAACTGGTCCATTTAGAGTTTACTTGGATCTCATCTGATGTATCATATTGAACAATATAATAATTTCTTGTCATCAAATAATTGGTTCCTAATTGTTCCTCAACTTTTAGGAGTATTTGAAATGTTTGTGTCACGTTATTAGATTCGGCCATAACTCAGGGTTTAGTGGATTTTGATACAGCTGATGTCACTGATTTATATTTTTAATTAGCAGCTATGCTAGCAGCTCAGTGCCAAATGCTAAAAACAGCATGCTAACATGTTTAGCAGGTATAGTTTGGAGATATTTCAGTCTGGGTCAAAGTGGTGGGCCGACACTGCCCCCCCCCCCCCCCGAGGCACACGCAGCTGAAATGATCCATTTATCAACGGAGCACAGTGATGGCTGCTGGCTGGTGGTTTATGAACCCCCCACACCCCCCACACCCCCCCAGCCAGACTTAGTCATGGACAGACAGTGTCGCCGATGAGACTGATGGCCCATCGCCCACATCTAGATCCCCTTTATTAGTTGTTTCCAGAATGACATTAGTTTAGCTACTGAGGACCAACAGGCCTGGCGTGAACAGAGGAGCCCTGTGTCTCGGCCGCACACTAACACGGGGAAGCAGAACATGCCAAGGTCACGGCGGGCTGAGACAGACAGGGCCACCATGGATCATCCTTTGACCCCCACAGAGACACCGAGGTCTACTGGTCAGGGTCAAGTGGACGAGGGGATAGTCGTGGCCTGTTTTGGAGACAGCCTGTTTATAGAGGAGCCTGGCAGGAGCCTATTGTCTTCCCGGGGGCCTCGGGGTGGACCACACTGCACAAATGTAGATTAATGATTGGGCCCCAGTGTTTTTTTTGAGGGTCATAAATCCATATGAACTAGCAGATGCCCCTCGTGTACTGTTCTGTTGAGTGTCAACATGCCACGGCACTGGGGACAAAATCCTATAGGCAAAACATCATCTGCTCGTTTATTCCAGTCATGAATGTCACAATATTCAGGATGTAGTTCACACAGATTTTTAATTGGTCTGTAAAATGTAAAATGAAAATACTGAAGGTGGAACAGAGCTAAAAAAATTATAATCTGAGAATAATCTGCAACTAATTTGATAATCAAATGATCATTTCTCCATTTTCAAGCTGAAATAAAGAAACAAATTTATATTTTTTACGTCTCGAATATGAAGATTTGCTGCTTTTCTTTTTCTTTTATATGATTGTAACTCAAATAAACTTTGAACTGATGATCAGAAAAAAACAAGGCAGTTGAAGACATCACCTAAATCAATGAATCAAAAAAATAGTCAGTAGATTAATCAATAATGAAAAACCAGCCTTTAAAGTGACGTCTTTGTCTTGTTTGTTTGTTGGATCATAATGATATAAAACAGACAGAAGCATCACTGGGACTAATTAACAGTTGGTATTTTTGTTTGAAAAAATACTGTAGCGATTAAGTAATCATCGAAATAATTAAAATTTTCTGTTGATTGTGAGTTAATCGCCTAATCGTTCCAGATCTGCACAATATGGGATAGATAAATTAGCACCAACTCAAGCCTAAAATACTTTTATTGTTCTACTAACATTGGAAATTTCCATGATTTCTACATTTTCTTCCCTCTGGACAGTGTTTGTGGAATGAATGCTAAATTGATTTGACCTGAATAAACACTATGTTGAATAAAAACACAAATTATCGATGTTTAATAACTGTTATTATCCTCCAGTGCCATGGTTCCCTAATGACATCCAGGACTTGGACCGATTCGCCAACCAGATCCTCAGTTACGGCTCCGAGCTGGATGCGGATCACCCGGTAAAGACTGACTCATCCATCACTGTCTGTGTGCCACATCCTGCCTCTGCATGTGTGTGTGTGTGTGTGTGTGTGTGTGTGTTTGTGTGTGAATACGTGTCCACTCACGCCCACACGTCTTATTAAAGACGGGGGCTGCAGAGATGACAGGCCGCACTCTGCTGTCTATTCTAATGGAAACTATCTAGAAACACAAATTGATGTCATTGCTTTAATTGAGCCCCTATAATTATAGATAATTGCTCCCTTTTGCCACCGCCATTAAAGCAAAATGTATTCATCATAAGCTGAAAAACACTCTACAAAGGCTTCATTTGAATATGTATTTGCGTGCTCTTATTAGAGACGGAGTGCATAATGCTGTCAAAGGCCACAGGGTTTAGCCTGAGCAGAGGATTTCCACTCTTTGATTTAGCTGAGTGGCCAGGCTGCGATCATGAGATCTAACATGGCTTTCCTTTGTGTGTGTGTGTGTGTGTGTGTGTGTGTGTGTGTGTGTGTGTTCAGGGCTTCACAGATCCAGTCTACAGAGCCCGCAGGAAGGAGTTCGCCGACATCGCCTACAACTACAGACAGTAACTGTTCTTAAAAATCTCTATTCTTTTTTTCCCCCTTTTTGCTTCTTGCTTTTTTTTTTACAAAAGTCAAAAGAGGAATTTCTTTTAAATATTTATGTGGATTTTCTGTCTGATTTCTGTCCGTCCTTTGCCCCTTTGAAAAATGATCATTAACAAATAGGGGACAAATTACAAGAGGCCAACGGTGGAGTTAAAGGACCTTGGTCTTTGTGTGTGTAATTGAAAAGTATTGTTCACAGGCACAACAAAGAGCAGCAAGCTGTGAAACGCATTTACATCGCTGTGTAATACTGACAAACAAGGACGTGATTCTGTGTGGAAATATACTGTTTATAAAAGGCAAATCTACATTAAAAAGGTCATAAAAGGTCACAGATATCGATAAAAACATATTTATATACACTGTAAACAATTACAGCTTTTAAAATTTAAAGCCCTTATATGTACATTTTTTTTTTCTGTGATGAGACAATATTTTGAATTTATCTGTTGAAAATAGTTTGTGTATTAGTGCAACAGTCATTTTTGATACGACCACTAGGAGTCGCCAAAGTCAGAAACGTTCAAATCCTGCACATTGGTGCTTTAACGAGCTGTTCACCACATTAATCCAATTTTCCTGGTTCTCAAAGGGAAACTTTTAGGGTCCCAGGATGGAAAAAGAAAATTTTATATCATCATAAATATAAAACTTTTAGGCAAACACTGTTATTTGTGTAGGAACACGGTTTTATTTAAATACATCTTTACCCTTCATCACTTTTTACTGTTTATATAGTATTACAGTATATAACTTAGTTATTTCAAGTTTATTTCTAGGGAAAGTCTAAAGCATAGATCACTGCCAGAGACAGAAGGGTCTTTATACTAACATACAACAACCTCGTGTCTCTGTCCCAGTGGCCAAGTCATCCCTAGAGTGGAGTACACAGCGGAGGAGAAGGCCACGTGGGGCACAGTGTTCAAGGAGCTGAAGACTCTGTACCCGACCCACGCCTGCCGCGAACACAACCGCGTCTTCCCCCTGCTGGAGAAATACTGCGGCTACAGGCAGGACAACATCCCACAGCTGGAGGACGTCTCCCGCTTCCTGCAGTGTAAGTGCTGCGCTGTCATCGACCTACAACATTTATATGTGTTAATATGTGTTACACAGTTTAACTTTGTGCTTATGCTGTGATTCATTTTATTGGATTACATGTGAATGTTTTAACAGTCAACACCATAGCCTACTTACAACATGTAACTGGGTTCATTTCATTTCATTTAATTGATGTGTTTATTAGGTATGATACACTGTATGAAACATTTACTTTTTCATTTTGGAAACCTCTCAGTGCCAATGTGAGATTCCAGAATCTATTCAAACACCGTACTTCCTCCTCCTCCTCCTCCTCCTCCTCCTCTTCCTCCTCCTCCCTCCCTCCCTCCCTCCCTCCTCTCTCTAACCACTGTTACTCAACACAACCAAACACTCACCCTCTTCTCCTTCTTCTCTTTCACCTGTCTGCCCCTCTCCTGCAGCGTGCACAGGTTTCCGGCTTCGCCCGGTGGCCGGCCTGCTCTCGTCCCGGGACTTCCTGGCCGGACTCGCCTTCCGCGTCTTCCATTCCACGCAGTACATCCGTCACGGCTCCAAGCCCACGTACACACCTGAGCCGTGAGTGTTTAGTGTCTGAACCCAATCTGTGAAAGAAGGAAAAATACACAACTTGTATATAATCGAAGTGTAATTTTTGTTTCTGACACAGGGACATCTGCCATGAGCTCCTGGGACATGTGCCTTTGTTTGCCGACCCGAGTTTTGCCCAGTTCTCACAGGTAATAAAACGTCCCGTCACAGCGGAAGTAATTAAAAACAGTACTTGCTTTATTCAGTTACGTAATCCTGAATATATCCACGTAACGCATGATATTCTGTAACCTTTTATTTTCTGAATTATTTGCTTGTATAGGAAATTGGACTCGCCTCCCTTGGTGCTCCTGATGAGTACATTGAGAAACTTGCTACTGTGAGTACTGTGCACGAGAGAAATAATAATATTATATGAACTTTCTAGTTTTTAACTTAGTTGCACTGAGACCAGAACAGGTGATTTCATGTCAAGGACGCCCAGAGAAACTCCTTTTGAAATTATTGTATTTGATGTATTTTTAATATCTGTGTGATTAACTTGGGGATTTTAATTAGAAAGTAGGATTAGAGGGTTTTAAAAGGTCTTACAGGGTTTTTTCTCCCAAAAGAAAAGAAAACTTATGTCTTGTGGAGCATCAGGATAGTTCAGATGCTCCATATTTTAATATTATATAATTAATAATATAACATTCATAATTATGTTTTCATTAGTGTATAATCACCTGAAAGTAGTAATCGTTGTTTTTCGTTAGCTTCATGTCTATATAAGAAACGGGTCGTCTTGCACAGAGCGCCCACCATGTTGCACCGACATGTTTCTATAGCAGCCCAGAGCGGACAAACCAAACACTGGCTCTAGAGAGAGGCTTTTGCTTTTTTTTACATTTCCTGAATGGGGCGAAGGGGAGGGGTGTTCAGCTGGGTGCAGTCTGCACCCTCACCACTAGATGCCACTAAATCCTCCACACTGATCCTTTAAAGTGAGACGACATGACACTATGTTACTTTTGCTGAACGGCGTCTGCAAAGTATAATTCAGAGACAATGAAAAATGCTAAAGCTAAAATGCTAAGCTACTGTAACAGAAGCAAAAGTCAGCAAACTGACTCAGTAATGTCCATTATACAGCAATATTTACCTCAAGTTTGTTAGCATTAGCCACCATAAGCTAATGATTGTACTTTTAATGTGACCTGCTAACGCTGTGATCTCAGTAATCTCAAGAACAGGTGTGTTAAAACCTTTGAGCATAAAACAGAAACTATATGCAGGGAAACGTAGCACAAGAAAATATATATATTTTATTTTTATATAGGTGATCTGACACTGAAGCTCCTTCAGTTTTAGGATTTGTACATGAGCCTGTTGATCAACCATCGCTGTCTCTGTGAATTCTTGCCTGGGTTTGTTGTATGAATCATATTTGTGTGATTGTATTATTCATGTCCTCAGGTGTACTGGTTCACTGTGGAGTTTGGCCTGTGTAAGCAGGGCTCAGAGATCAAAGCTTACGGAGCTGGCTTGCTTTCATCGTTTGGAGAGCTGCAGGTAAGGAGAGGAGGGGGGCTGACGCAAGTGTTTGAGTCCGTGAAGACAGGGAAACAATATGTACATCGCTTTTAGTGCTGCCTACCCTCCTGCTGACCCCCCCACCCCCCCACCCCATATCTGTTGTTATAACACGTTCACCTTGTTGCACAACCGCAGCGGTGCAGGCAGTGGGTTAGTGGTCCACTCAGATTCAGGTTTAATGTGTCACTGGGGGAGTCGGCCTGCCAGCCCCGGCGGGGTGTGGGTAAAGTGGTTCAGTGGGTAAGTGGGGGCAGAGAGACGACGAGCATGCTCGCTATTGAGGTCACAAGTTACATCAGCCGCCGTCAGCAGAGGATGTGCACTCTGCCGAGTCACATCAACAGAGAAAGAAGCCCAGCCCCAAATCCTGCTGCACTTCCTGTGTCCTGACGGCCGGGAATAGACACACTCATTGAGAAATTGAAATCCCTGAATATTCTTTTACACTGTTTTCTTCCAGTACAGCTTGACAGACAAGCCCAGACTCCAGCCCTTTGACCCCGACAAGACCAGCCTCCAGAAATACCCCATCACAGAGTACCAGCCTGTTTACTTTGTTGCTGAGAGCTTTGAAGACGCCAAAGAGAAAGTGAGGTAAGAAATGTTTTGTTTCTTACTCATATTTTGAAGTGTATCTGTTCCATAACTTTAGGTTGCACACTCAACCTGTTTAACATTTGTCTCCACAGGAAATTTGCAGGCACCATCCCCAGGCCTTTCACAGTGCGCTACAACCCCTACACCCAGAGTATCGAAGTGCTGGATAACACCCAGCAGCTCAGGAACCTGGCCGACAGCATTGGTAGTATGTATCACACTTACGTCAGCTACTTTTTGTGCACAGAGCTGAACGACACAATCCCCTTTAATTCGGTTAAATGTATTGGTTTTTAAAGCGGTGGTTCTGTTTCTTTTCGCCGCTGCGATTACTGCAAAGAGAAACGCACAACGCTGCATCTCGTCATCAGTGTCGTTACTTGACGGCACTTCCCCTTTATATTATAAAACAATTATAAGACAATACAAAAACATTGGTTTATTTTCAATCATTTTTAGAGGTAAAACTGCAAAAATTATGAAATGTTTAAAAATATAAATATAAGTTGTGCAGCATGAATGTTTAACTTCTGCCTCCCTGTCCTTTTGACCCTCTCGCCACCTCTCAGATTTATCATGTGACCCCCTTCAGCTCTTAAAAACTCGTCTACACTCGTGTTATGCTCGTGTTTTAATAAGAAATGAAGCAAAGAATCACAATAAAGAGTTGTTTCTCTTGTTCTTTCTTTTGTTTTAGGTGAAATGGGGAAACTGTGTGAAGCCCTGCGGAAACTGGCGTAACTGCACGTGTAATCTGAAGCATCTTTTTTTCATTGGAACAGTCGTTCATTTATTAGACTGCTGGCCTCTTACGGTTACGCTTAGCATGCCTGCAAATTAGCTTTCTTTGTATTAAAGCAAATATGCAAATCAAATAATGGCTTTATTACTGTTATCCAATTAGTAAGATGTGTTCTCTGTGTATTTTAGTTAAGTGAATAAAGTGTAGCCTGTTCTAATGCAGGATAATAAGGAATGTCTCTTTAACGACATTATTACAGTATAAATGTATACATGCTTTTCAAAATAAGAGGGTTTTGACAATCAACATCTCCTCTGTGACCTCAATGAATTTAAAACCAAATATGTAAACATACAATTTTGCTTCTAATATAATGCAAGACAACTGCAATAACTGATTTTTTTTTCTATGCATTTCAAGCCTAAAAGTCTATTGAGATCATTTTTGTCACTCAAGCTTTCATTTTGCTGTTTTGTATATGCATGAAATGTGAAATAAATAAATATTTCATCCTCTGGCTCTGTCTTCTAATGCTTTCCTACTGATCACTTTTTCACATATCTATTAATATTCTTCTACAAAATTAACAGCACTCTACAATTTTGAGTTACTTTTTCTATTTCTGTTTTACACAATAGGACGGGATGCATTGTTAAACATTAAACTACCCAATGATACATACAGTAGTTTTCTTTCAACTCCTTTAACTATAATATTAAATAGCTGCCTGCATGTTGCAACAATAATATTGATCCAAGAATTGAAGTGTATTTAGTGGCTGACATTTTTATACTCACACATAAGTAAGTTATTTTTGCTTTCTTGCTTTTGTTCATCCTCTGTTCAGCTGCCTCCTGCTGTTAATTTTGCACATGCTGTTTGTTTTGTTGTTGTTTTAAAGGCTAATATAATATCTTTTGGCTAACACTGGTACATTTATATTGATGCTGGCCCATGTGCATTGACCCTGGGAAATTAAAATAATGAAAATCTAATTCTGAATGCAGGACTTTTACTAAAGTAAGTGACCTGAATACTTATTGCACCATTGCACAACTCTAATTGATAAAGAGCATCTGATAAACATTTAAAAATCCATCGTATATCATCAACAAAATACTCAAAAGCAGATAATGAGGTCAGGGAATTGAGTATTCTTTTATAAATAGGACATGTGACATTTATGTAACTCATAATGACCTTTTTTTGGTTGAATGCATCTGTCATTCACAAAATTTCGATCCCTAATGCATTTTCTGTGCAACCACTGTTATTATGGGCTGTTTTCCCTCCTAATAGCACTGTTTTTGTCCCATAAATAGATGTGATATCATGACGCAAAACATGCCCCGCAAAAAGCCAAACACACGTGCTGTGCTTGCGCAACTCATCTCCATAAAGCCCTCAGATGACAGGGTATTTAAACCTGTCCACTGCACCGGTGATGGCACACGCACCGTCGGCACCGGTGTCTCCGTGAAGCCTCCAGCAGAGCGCGCACACATGAAGACGGAAGGTGTGGTGCAGGCCGCGCCGTTCGGCGGGAGGAAGCAGAGTCTGATCGAGGATGCTCGCAGGGAGCGCGGCAGCGGCTCCGCGGGCTCCCCGGGGCCCTCCAGGTACGGAGACGGCTTCGTGTTCGAGGAGAAGGACGGCAGGGTCACTCTGAACGTCCTGTTCACTCTCAGCAACGAGAAAAACGCGGGATTCTTCAAAACCGGGAAAATATTCGAGGTGAGCCCCAAATAAACAAAGATGGAGGAAGTATTCAGATCATTTACTCCAGGAAAACTGAACTGTGCTGCACTGTAGAAATTATTATTTTAAGTAATTATGAGGGGAAATGGCCTCTGTGAATGTTAAATATTATATATTTTATTATTATTATCACTGATGCTGTCACATGGAGGAGCTAATTTAAAAAAAAAAGTGAATATAGATAATTAAATGTTTTGCATGTGAATTCCTAATGTGAAGTAACTGTCAGTGTTATTATGTTACTGGATCATTATCATTGGTGTATTAACATGTTGGACTTTAATGTTGTTGTCAGTCGAGTCGAAGCTAATTTAAACTATTTTATACACTGTTTGTAATCTGTATAATTCACAATATTTTGTAAATTAATTATATGTTTTATATGCTAATTATTAATCTGAAAGCTAACTTACAAAAAAATAACAATTTGTGTCTCAGCTGATCATAATTGAGAAAAACCGAGCATGATATACAGCTGTGTTTTATCCAGATGTGGTTTCATCTGAGAAAACAGGCACAAAAAGTCCCTAAAACGCATCAGCTGATTTCTGTTTTCTATTTTTAGAAATTGCATTTAAAGTTAAAAGCTCCAATCTTGTTTTATGGATGCAGGTTATGGATGTGGTTCAAGAACGAGTGGGGGAGAAAAAAAAAGCCCCTAATTTGCATCAATTTAGGCTTTAACATCCGAAAATACAAGCCAATCAACTTCTGCCTGATGAGTGACAAGATATTGTTTAACTGGTCAAGGTGATAAAACTGAAATAAAAGGCAGAGTGAATATTTTATCTCCCAGAAGGCCTTTGGGTTTCAAGAAATTAAAACAAGTTCTTCAAACTAATGACAAAAACTAAACTACAAGATGCAGCTACTTCCCCTCAGCAGCAAATCACTGGTTAGAAAGAATAAAATACCAAAAAGAGTGATTGTATTTGATTATTTTTGTCTGTTTTTTTTTTGCTCTTCACAGACGTTTGAAGCTAAACTTCTCCACATCGAGAGTCGACCGGGGAGGAAGTCGAAGAACAGCACGACGGACCTGGAGTTTTTCATGAAGTGTGAAGTTCACAGCTCTGACCTGGATGTTTTCATCAACTCCCTGAAGAGAGTGGTTGATGACGTTCGCTCCATACCGGAGGAAAAAGGCAAGTGCATGGTTTTATTATCACACTCACTGTTTTGTCTTTACAACTATTACAGTTCCTTGCGAGGTACATACGGATTAGGATATCGTGTGCGATGTTCCTGGCCTCATTTATTCAGTGAATACTCCTTTTGAATGTTTCCATATGATAATAAGATGCAACCAGGCCGATTACAAAACCGCTAATTAATTTCTTTTTTTTTTTCCTCCCATCAACATCACAGTTCCCTGGTTTCCCCGACAGATAAAAGACCTGGACAGATGCAACATGCTAATAACCAAATTTGATCCAGACATGGATCAGGACCATCCGGTGAGTGTTTACAAATCTGCTGCAAAATATCACAGTTTTACTCACATTTACAGCCAATTCATGTTCAATTAACATCCTTTTTTTGTTGTTGTTGTTGTTGCAGGGATTCAGTGATCCAGAATACAGGAAAAGACGGGCTTATATCTCCGAACTCGCCTTCAGATACAAACAGTGAGTCGGATCTCAAAAGAAAGTCCCTCCGTGTTCTGAGTATCATTAAAATATCCCGTCATAAACGAACTGTCTTTGTTTCAGCGGGGACCCGTTACCCACGGTGGAGTACACAGCAGAAGAAGTATCCACATGGTGAGAATGAAGTGCACAGTTACAGATGCATTGTGGGCGACGGTTCATGGCTGCAACGGTGTGATAACACGGTGTGACTGTGTTTAAATTCAAGGAGGGAGGTTTACCAGCAGCTGCGGAGTATTTACCCCAGTCTGGCCTGTCGTCAGTTCCTGGACGGGCTGCAGCAGCTGGAGAGAGAGTGCGGCTACGGAGAGGACCGTATCCCTCAGCTCAGAGAGGTGTCTGCCTTCCTGAGAGGTGACAAATACAGACAAACTACAATGAAAAGAAACTTTAGAAAACACAGATTGAAAAAGCAGAATGAAGGGATGTGTCTGCTCTTCTATCTGATCTAAAAAAAAAAGAAAAAGACATTTTGGTCTTTAAAATCTAACAGTGAAAAGGTAAAAAGAAAACGGAGATAGTAAAAGAAGAATTGAGAAAGGTTACTCTCTTCAAAAGACAGAAGATGCTGCTGCAACTAACACTCATTTCAGGCCAAATATTTTCCTCCATTAGTTGATATGTCTATAAAATATCAAAAAATAATTAAAATAATAATCTTAAAATGTCTTGTTTTGTCTGAGCAAGCGTCTGAAACCCAAAGATATTCAGTTTACTGTCACAAATGACAAACAAAAGCATTAAATCTTCACATTTAAGAAGCAGCAACCTGCAGGTGTTTGGCTTTTAAAAAACTATTAAAGTATCCAGTTTATTTTTTGTCAAATGACTCAATCAAATAATCGACTTATTGTTGCAAGTAAGATTCATTTTATTATAAAGAAAGAGAGCGATAATAAATTAGAGGTGTCTGAAAACCTGAAAAAGAATCTGCCTTTGTAAATGTAGACAGACATTAAACACACACAGAGGTCATTGTAGTGTTCCTCTCTATATACTATACTGTATTTCATTCATCTTTTAGCTCTACTGCCTTTGAGCTCCATCACTCTCTGACACTTTCTCTCCTCCCTGGTGATTGTAGAGAAAACGGGTTTCCAGCTGCGTCCGGTCGCCGGCCTCCTGTCGGCCAGAGACTTCCTCGCCAGTTTGGCCTTCAGGGTGTTTCAGTGCACACAGTACATCCGACACTCCTCTGCACCCATGCACTCCCCTGAGCCGTGAGTCACTGTTTATCAACTCTTTTTAAATGTATTTATTGATGCACGTATTTAGTCGCTTTCCCCTTTCATTGACTCTGTTCCGTCTGCTCTGACAGAGACTGCTGTCATGAACTTCTCGGCCATATTCCCATGCTGTCAGATAAAGAATTCGCCCAGTTTTCGCAGGTAGGTGGACTGTGCAGTGCTGTATCTTCTTTAATTTCTCTTTAATTTAGTTGTATTTCCTCTAATACTAATTCATCTGAACACTTACAGGAGATTGGACTTGCCTCGCTTGGAGCTTCAGATGAAGACATTGAGAAACTGTCAACAGTAGGTTTCATTTATCCTTTAAAAAGCAGATTTACAGCCATAAATAAGTCAATTTACATTTGTATAGATTTGGAAGTGACTCACTTTGTGCATTTTAATGGATATTCAGTGCCATCTAGTGGCTAAAGCTAATAACTGCACATAATGTTGACCCACCTGGAGTTCAGGTTTATTTTTGGTGATTCATGGTGTGCTAATTTCAGCACAAACTACTCTATAATCTAATTTATCCTATCAAGTATAAAGCTGCCAAAAGACAAGAAAAATTACACTGAAACCTATAAAAATGCACAAATCCTGAGTGATAATCTCTCAAGATATTATTATAGAACAGTTTGAGGGTGTGAAAAATATAATTTCTGTATTTATACAAAAGAATATGGCAGAAAAAATGTAAGAAATACAACTACAACAGTCTATTTACATTTAAAGTGATTTAAACCGAATTTATTTTTGTGCATTTTTCATTTAAAGTCTTTTAATGACTGTGAGTTCAAAGGTTTAACATTTTATTAAAAACCGTTTGTATGGTCGACAGACATTAAAGCCAACCACTTTCACCTGGTTTTCTCAGCTTGTACATAAATTATAAATTATGTTACTATAAATAAAACATGCCCGGTGTATTCGCAGATCAAAAGAGAGACCAGATCCTCGTCCAGGCAGACTGGAAATAATTTTATCTGCTTTTTTTTTATTGTGTTCTCCTATTGTAGTTGTACTGGTTCACTGTGGAATTTGGCCTCTGCAAGCAGAACGGAGCAGTGAAAGCTTACGGCGCTGGACTCCTGTCGTCCTACGGGGAGCTGGTTGTAAGTGCCATCTCTCCGTTCACACATAGATTATTTTTTACTTGCAGCTTGCTGTTCTCCTCGTTTTATTTGCTTGGCGCGCTCACGGTCTTTGTCTGTTCCTCCAGTACGCTCTGTCCAACGAGCCAGAGTACAAGCCGTTCCACCCAGAGGAGACGGCGGTGCAGCCGTACCAGGACCAGACCTACCAGCCTGTCTACTTTGTGTCCGAGAGCTTTGAGGATGCAAAGATTAAGTTGAGGTATTTACTCATTACATACGCACATCACATTAAATCTGTTCGTTAAACTTTTCACCCTTATATTACAACAAAATGTGTTTCCGATCAACCTTAACCACTGATTAATTACTTACTCCTGATGCTAATCATTCACTTAATTAAGAGAAATGCCTGTATTTAAAATATTTTACTTAATATTCTTACCTGAGAAATTAATTCTTAACTTTAAGAAACAGTATATGTAAACTCAAAGGCTCACTTACTAGTTTTAGGAGCTTTCAACCGGTTAAAGTCAGTTGAACACCACAGGGAGATTTTGGAGCTCATGACCATGAAAACATCCAAAGACTTGTAGAATCTATGCAAAGGAGCATCAAGCTTTTTTAATACTAATCCATGTGCATTCATTCACTCCCACAGGAGGTTCTCTACAACCATCAAGCGTCCCTTTGCGGTTCGCTATGACCCCTTTACCTGCAGCCTGGAGGTTCTGGATCAACCCAGCAAGATCCAAAATGCTCTGAGCCAGATGAGAGAAGACCTGAAGACCCTGCACGGCGCCTTGGAGAAGCTCAGCTCATCTTAAGACCAGGACCGGACTTCCTGTAGAGATAAAGACAGACGGACACTTGCAAACACGAAGGACGGACATTTGGCCTGTGTAAACGCTGTATATGAGATCGACCATTATGAACAGCACATAAAGAGAATCACGATGTAGTCAGGTTTGTGAGTTTCCACAGGGCCATTTATTTGTGTGTATAATGTATTATGTAAAGTGCAGATCATGTAAAAAGAAATAAACGTTTATTTTCAAAATGTGAACGTTTTATATTCCAGAGACAGAAAAGTTGTTGTTTTTTTTTTAAATTAAGGTGCTAAGTGTTGTCCTGCAGGAGGAACAGGAGAGAGAGAGAGAGAGAGAGAGAGAGAGAGAGAGAGAGAGAGAGAGAGAGAGAGAGAACCACTACAATGCAGGGCTTGTAGGCCATTTTCTAGCTTTTAATTCCAAACCGACTATTTCCATTTGGAAAATTCTTGGAACCCATTTATCTTCATGTGTTATTAAGCAAAAGGGAAGGAGCTAATTATGAATGATTTAAGTATCATGTTCCCTCTGCTGGTCAAGGCCAGAGCCAGCACTGAGGCCCAGCACATCAGTAGGGCCAGGTCACCGGAACCTCACAGCCGACCACAGTACGGTCCGCAGGGCCGCGCTGCTGACAGATGCTCTTCTCTCTTCATTTCTCTTCCTCCGTGCGACTGGAGGATTTGGCTTTCGGGCTCTTTTGACGGACGTCCAGCGTTTTGATCTCCACACAGGCGACAATGCATATCAGAGCCGCACATGTCAAAGCTTTCCCTCGAAAAAGACAAATCATCTCCATCTGCAGGACTCATAAAGCATCAACACCATCGGCACGGTGGCTGGCAAACCCTCCCATCGGCCACCTTGTGTCGGGAAGCTTTCCCTTCCCATAATTCCACTCTACAGTAAATCAAGCCCCGCTTCAGCCTCCCTGGGAAAACCTGTGTTTGCGGAGTAGAAAAAATTGTGTGTGAAGAGAGAGAGAGAGAAGGATAAAGCAAGTGGAGGGAAAGAGTGATCTACTGCTTAACAAGTGAGTCGGGACACACACACACACACACACGCATAAACATACACACACACACAAACACACACACACACGCACACACATACATGCACACTCTCTCTCCAACCAAAAGTCAAACACTTTATAATTCCTTGTATCTCGTTCTACGTCCAGCGCTCTCAAATCCACAAATCCCCATGAAACCACCGCCAGGATCCGAATCTGCTGAGCGCTAAACAAAAGCGGGTCGCCACGGCAACAGGACGACCAGTGAGGGATCCAGCTAGATTCTTGTGCCTCGCGTACTCGCCGCAAATCCCAAACGCTGTATCATCCTGACTCCAACCATAAGTGTTTCCTTTATTGATGTCAGGGCCATCCCATCCCTACGCTGGCTTGGTTGGCTCCTCCGAGCTGGAAGCAGGGTCACGGGGTTCACTTTGCCCTCAGGCCCAAGAACTCAGAAAGGGAAAGACACTCTGTGAGGTGTGAGAAAATCTGAAGATTTAAGGCCTGATAGGGAGCTAATAGTTTTGCGAATGGCTGACAAATCATTTGGTAATGCTTTGTATAACAGCTTCAGTCATTCGAGGGAACAGGTGAGAAGAGGCAGACCGAGTGTGGTTTAACTTGCACAAAAAAGAGAAATGTAAATATGACAATTTGTAGTTTTAGAGGGAGTTTTCCAACAGCTGGCAACATTTTTGTTCGTGTTCATGTTAAATAAATGTAATAACGAGGCGGCCTTCAGGGCAAAACGCACAAAGCAAGATCGGGGTTAGGCCAGGATGTTTTCCCAGCTCTGCAACATTTGGAAGTCGAAGCACTTCAGCCTGAACCAAAGGTCCATCTATGTTAAGAATAACACCAAGTCCGTCCCATCGTTTGGTTCTGAAAGCCGGCGGGAGACCTGGGCGATGTGAAAAGGATTGTGGGCTGAAAAGATCACAGCAGTGCAATTACACAGAAACGACAAAAGCAAGAACATCCATCTCTGAGGTGCGGCAGGGTCGACTGACTGGTTGGGCAACGTGCTTCGACTGGACGCACATCTCATCCCAGAGGCTGCGCTGGGACGGACTCCTCCAGGCAAAATAAAACCTGGAAGACCAAAATGACCTGGCACAGAACTGGTACTGACGAGGTAGCCAAGATGAACTTAACTGGTGGTGAGGCTGAACTTTTTTTGCCAAGGATAGGGAATGATGGAGGGAGCTTATTGCAGCTTTATCTCCCACTGGGGACAAAAGAGTAAGCAAGTAAGAGGTGTTGGTATGTGAGTTTTTTCACTTTGGACAAAGCCAGACTTGCTGTTTTCCACTTTTCACGGTAAGCTAGGCTAAACACGTGTTGACTGCAGCTCTGCACAGAGCACAGTCATGAGCTCGATATAAATCTTCTCTTTTGGGGGAGCCCCCCCCCCCCCAAAAAAAAGTAGAACTATTCCTTTAATAAGAACAACCGTCAGTGGATGGTGGATGCTCCTCTAGAAAGACACCGTTAACTTCACAGCAGTTCAGGGTTAAACAAGATACAAGGTGTTAAACAAGGTGTTAAACAAGGTGTTAAACAAGGTGTTAAACAAGGTGTTAAACAAGGTGTAGCGCTGGAGGTTTCAGTCTTGCTAAGCTCCGACAAACACACGACACATCCTGACTTCAGTCTGACAAGAAACAAACGAGAAACAAAAAGAAAATTTATCAGCAAATCACCAATATATAATCATGAGTTTCACATCAAGTTAAACAAATGAGATAATGTTGTGTTATATATATTCAGCTTTAGAATCGATGGTGGTCTGTATTAGTAAATTAGGTTCGACATGCTCCGACTATCCGTCCCGATAATTCACACAAAGTCGTGAGAACCAAACCATTTCCCTAATCTCGGTCTCGGAAACAGATTCAATGGAGCATATTTCCGAAAACGAACTATCCCTTAGTGAGAAATCATTGGTTGCCAGATCGAGAAAAGTCCCTTTGGTTGGATGTTTAACCTCGTCCGGCAAAACACTTTAGTTTCCAGTTTAAAAGCGTTTGCACAGACACGGAGATCAATCATCATCCTTCATTAAGGTTTGAGGGGGGAAAAAGCAAATAATCATATTTAATATAATGTTGAACTATTCCAAACATATGGTGTTTATACTTCTTGATTATTCTCCCATCTCTTTACTTCTTCAGCTCCATTTAATGTCGTCCAACATGACCACTTTCATTGTAGTTCATCAGGAAGACCATTCAATGACTGTCACTAATAAATCCTAACGGGTTTCTTCTCAGTTGGAGAGGTAACTACACAAACAGGTGTCATACTGGGGAAGGATAAACACCCGGTGAACCAGCAGTCGTTTATTAATAGTCTGCAACTGATCTATATAGTTTTAGTTAGTTCATCCTTCAACTTCCCCAAAAGTGTTTGACGAGCGAATCTACTGTTTAGATGATCAACAGACTCCACCCGAAAGTAGTAATGGAGCACTTTTGGGCCGAGTCGCTTCCACTCATCAAGATCAACATAATCACTTCATTCTGGGAAAGCATCGCAAACAAACCAGCCGTGAGATTAAATCAAACACCGGCCTCAAAGAGCTCTAATCTCTTTCTTTGTTTCCCCTCATATCATGCTCCTCATTATTTTTATTTGCTCTCTTTTTGTTGAGCCCCGGGCTTAAAGTTGGCAGGGCCGCAGAAGAACTATCTGAGGGGGAGATTAGGAGAAAGTTGGTGAGGATTTTAAGGCGGTCTGATCTCTCTTTCATCCATTTCACAGTTTGTTATTAGTCCACACACACCACTACCGCAAGAGATCAAACTGTTTGTGAAGCACAATAGCTTCATTCAGGTTACATCAAAGGTAACATCGAGGCCCGGGGCAGTGACATCTGCGGACGTGCTTCCAGGAAAGAGGTGAGTTTGTAAGATGTCCAAGACAGATCGTATGTTGCAGAAATCACCTCACAGATAAAATGGATTGAAATCTTCATGCAGTTCTGCTCGTCGGCCATCAGATGGTGTCCTTGAGTCACTGGGATTTGTGAAGCCACTGAGATTCATGACGCATGTCTCAAAAGGAAACTGGCTCAGTTAGCGATTCCAGTGCCCTCTATGGCTGCTTTTATACTCTTTGGAGAGCACTCAGAGTGTGCACAGATGAAAATGGCAGCCTCTTGCTCTGACACTGACATCTCCCATGTTACATGCAGCTGCTCCAGCACCACTTGCACCTTAAGCACAGCAAACGCAGGGAGTGGAGACCACATTGGACTTGTTCAAACAAGAGTGGACCAGGAGAGCGGTAGCATGTTATGCTTTGTGGATGGCGGTTAACGCGCCCTGTCCAAGAAATATACAAGGTTGACGAACTGGTTTGAAAGAGTGGAGGTCTCTACGGCCTGTGCTCGCTCCGTTCTGTCGTGCAGAGACATCGTTGCACAATACGACCTAGTGTTTCGGCTGACATATACATTAATAAAGTACAATAAACGGCTCTGTTAGACACTCAAGTATGAATGCACATTCATCCAACGATACACCCTTGAAGATTAAGTACATCTGTGGAAACAAGTGATCAGCTGTCACATCGGATGATTCATGATCACGTTAATTAAATGAGTGCCCTGTGCAGCTTAGCCGGCGTACGACTGAAAGTGGAGATGGTGGTTTCTCACACGTGGCCTTCCTGTGACAGTACAATGAGTCCTTGTTTTACCGGAGGACATTACAAGTTCCTGCCGAATCACCCCTCGTCTTCCATGTTTGGTCTGTGGAGCATTGATAATTATCCTCCAAGGTAAGGTAACGCGCATCTCCTCCTCTCCCTGCATCCTCACCAACCGCTCAGTTCACATGCCATGCAGTTGCAGGTGACCTGAAATGGCCTCAGACTCCCAATGAATCCCAGGGTTTTTCCTATGATTACATTTCATACAACCCAGCCGCCCCTGTCACCCCCCCCACCCCCACGCAGGGTTTGCCCAACATTTGGCGCATGGCTAGACCTCCTAGTTTCTCCTCACCTTAACCTTTCTGTGGATTCACTTCACTCCACGGCAGATGGACCAGCCCATACAAAGATATATCTCTGACATGATTCAAAGTCTGTCATGGATAGTGAGAAAACTGAGAAACAGTAAGA